GTCCGATGATTTCCGCATTCCGTTGGGTCACCTCTCTTTGGAATGGGCACAAACATTGATCCCTTCCAATCAGTCGGCCAGACAGTTGTCTTCCAAATTTTGTACATAGAATCCTCCAATATTGCATCTCAATGCCAGAGTTTTTTCTTCATTTCTTTCAGAAGCATATGTTATTTTCTAAACTTTCATTTCTAAGGTATTGATCTATATAGTTCTATCCTTGTGCCATTGTCACACTATCTTGATTATCATTGTTTTGTAGTAAGTTTTGAAATAAAAAAATATGAGTTCTCCAACTTGGTTCTTCCTTTTCAAGATTGTTTTGACTATTCTGTGTCCTTTTGTAACTTCATATGGATTTTAGAATCAGTTTGTCAATATATATAAAGAAATAAACAGAAAACCTGATAGAGACTGTTTAATCTGCATATCACTTTGTAGATTATTGCTATTTTAACTACATTAACTTTTCAAATTCATGAACGTGGCATTTTTTTCCTAAATATTTATTGTTGTTATTGCTGTTGTTAGGTGCTGCCAAGTCAGTATTGACTCACAGCAATGCAATGCACAACAGAACAAAATGGTTCCTGGTCCTATGCTACCCTCACAATCTTGCTACACTTGATCCCATTGCAGCTGCCACTGTGTGAATCCATCTGTTAGGGATCTGCCTTTTTTTCTCTGACCCTCCACTTTACTAAGAATGATATCCTTCACCATTGGTTGGTGCCACTGATAATATGTCCAAATTATGATAGATGAAGTGTGACCTTCCTGGTTTCTAACAAGCATTCGGGGTATACTTCTTCAGCACAGATGTCTGTTCTTTTGGTGGTCCATGACATTTTTTATATTCTCCAACACCATAACAAATGTACATCAATTTTTCTATAGTCTTCTTTATTCATTGTCCAATTTTCACATGTATATGAGACTATTGAAAATACCATGGCTTGAGTCAGGCAGACCTTAGTCTTCACACTGACGTCTTTTCTCTTCAACACTTTAAACAGGTTTTGTGTAGCATATTTGATTAATGCAACATATTGTTTGATATCTTGACTGCTGTTTTCGTGAGTGTTGATGGTTGATCTGAGAAAAATAAAATTTTTGACAATTTATGTCTTCTCTTGATGTTGTTTATTGGTCTACTTGTGATGATTTTGTTTTCTTTACATTAAGATGGAATCCATACCGAAGGCTGTGGTCTTTGATCTTCATTAGTATTTTAAGTTCTCTTTACTTTCAGCAAGCAAGATTGTATTGTTTGCATATCACAGGTTGTTAATGAGTCTTCTTCCAACATTGATGCTATATTTTTCTTCATATAAACCAGCTTCTCAAATTATCTATTCAGCATGCAAAATAAACAAGTATGGTGAAAGTGTACAGCCCTAGCTCACACCTTTCCTACCATTCAGTGTTTCCTAGTTCTGTTCAAACAATTTCCACTTGTTCTACGTAAACGTTCTTCAAGAGCACAATTAAGTGTTCCGGAATACTCACACTCTACAAGGAGCTCTGGTAGCACAGTGGTTACGAATCGGGCTGCGAACCTCAGGGTCAGCAGTTCCGGGGGGGGGGGGATTTCCAGCTGTTCCAGGGGGGAAAGATGAAGCTTTCTGCTCCCATAAAGATTTACAGTAAAGCACAGCTAAACATCTTTCTGGTATTCTCTGCTGTCAGCCAATATTTATCTGTCATCAGCATGTTATCCATCATTTTCTGTGCTCTTCTGAATCCAGTTTTAACCTCTGGCAAGTCCCTGACATGGTACAGTTGTAGTCATATTTGAATTATCTTTAGCAAGATTTTACTTGCATTTCATTATTTACATATTCTTAAATATATTTCAATTATGCTTTATACATGTTAATGTGTCTTACATTTCTTTTGTTAAATTTATTCCTAAGTGTTTTTTTTTATGCTTTTGTAAATGAAATTTTTTTTCGTAATTTGTTTTTGGGTTGTTCATTACAAATATGTCGACATACAATTTATAATTGCGTATTGATCTTGTATCTTGCTTTCTTGCTGAATATGTTTATTAGTCCAAATATTTTTTTTAGTAGAATCTTTAGGATTTTTCCTATGTCATCTGTCATATCATCTACAAATGGAGATAGTTTTATTTGTTCCTTTCCAATTTGGAAATCCTTTCTTTTCTCTCTCTTTTTTGTGCATAATTGCCTTAGCTAAAACTTCCATACACAGGTTGCACTGACATAGAAAGAGTAAACATCCTTTATTTTTACTTCTAACCCTAGAGGAAATCTTCTAGTCCATTAAGTACAATGTTAGTTGTTGGTTTTTCATAGACGGTACTTATGATTTCGTGGAAATGTATGCATGAGGAAAATATATTATGTTGAAGTGTATAAAGATGGAAATTTTGTAGAACCCAAACAATATAATTCTGGCAATTGCATAGGATTCAACCCAAAATAAGGAATCACTATTCACTGCCATCAAGTAAATTCAGACTCATAGTGACTCTGAATAGGATTGCTAAGATTGTAAATTTTTACATAAAGTCTCTTCATTCTCCTATGAAGCAGGTGGTAGGCTGGAACTTCCAATCTTGTGGCTAGCAGTCAAGTACTTCTCCTACAGTGTGCAGCCATAAAAATATAAATACAAAATTTTAAATAGGGATAGTGGTTATTTCCGAGGAGTGGGAGATGTGTGAATTGCCTGAGAGAGTCTCAAAATGGAATTTTAAAATTATTTTCAATGTATATTTTCCAGCTTATTGTTGTTGTTAGGTGCCATCGAGTCAGTGCCAACTCATAGCGACCTTTAGGCACAGCAGAATGAAACACTGCCTGATCCTGGGCCAACCTCACCATTGTTGCCATGTTTCAGCCCATTGATGCTTCCACTTGGCCAATCCATCTGACTGGGGGTCTACTTCTTTTTCTCTGACCTGCCACCTTACCAAACATGAGATCCTTCTCCAGTGACTGGTCACTCCTGACAATGTGTCTGAAGTATGAGAGACGAAGTTTGGCCATCTTGGCCTCCAAGGAGCATTCTGGCTGTACTTCTTCCAACACAGATCTGTTGGTTCTGTGAGCATCCAACTTAGGTGATGAGTACATGTGTTTTTATTATTCAAACATTCTACAAAAACTACAGATAAATCACACAAATGTTTTGTACATGTTATACTCATATTTCACAATTAAAATTTCATACACCAAATTTCAAATATACTCCAGTATTGAAAATATGGTTCCAAAATATGGTTCCTCAATACTTCACAATGGTGTTATTAACCTTGATTTTGATACTGACTGGTCCCCAGGATCTGGAGTCACTAGCCCTTGAATGGGGTCCAGAACGCTGCAATTTTAACAATGTCCCAAAATTCTGCAATTAATCTAAGTCTATCACAACTGCCATACCAAATGCCTTAGATACAAGTCTAGAAGCTATCTTTAAAAGTGATGCTTAACATAATGGAATTTAATGATGAACAGAACAAAGACTCTCTAGGTTCTTAACTTTCAAGGGAAGATTCCCAGCAAGGTAGATTGACACAATGTCAGCAACAATGCGCTGAAACATAGCAACAAGTCTTAGGGATGGTGCAGGGTCAGACAATGGTTCATTTTGTTATTCATAGGACTTCAATGAGTAAGAAACTTCTCATTGGCACCAAACAACAACAATGATATGTTTGCTATAAATTCACATTCATGGGTCTATCTCATACTATGGAGCTAAAATCTCTGAGTTTAGGTCAGAAATCGGCATTTTAACAAATTCTCCAGTTCTTATACATATTAAAATTGGAGAACAGCTATTCTAGATGATTCATCAAATTTACTCATGAGAATCCCATTCCACTCATTACAGAATAATTGAAGAAGGGGACTATATGTTCCAATTCAGGCTTTACACTGTGAAAGGATGATTCATTGGAAAGGTCAACTCAACAAAACAAAAAACACTAAATTCTAGTAAGCATTCTGGCAGATGATGTCTGCAAGTGGTGCAACTATCTGGTAAACTTGATGGTAACTAGTCAGTCCTAGTATGCAACCATTCAAATATCACAAAACTAGAGAAGAGGAAAGTTATTTTCCAAACCTATGTTTATTATAATATTCTACTGAAGTTAACCAACTTGATGACATGTAACAACAACAATAGCAGCGTGTTTATTGCTATTAGTCATTATGGCATATAAACATTGTAGCAAAATAATTGAAAAAAAAGGGAAACAAACAGATATTTGTACACCAATGTTCACTGCAGTACTATTCACAACAGGCAAAGATGGAAACATGTTGGCTGTCCATCAACAGATCGATAAACAAAATATCTTACATAGAGTAGAATACTCTCAATCATAAAGAGAAATTAAGTTCTGATACATGTTAAAACATTGATGATTCTTGAAAACATTAAGTTGAGTGAAAGGTCAGTAACAAAAGGACCAACACTATTACCCCATTCGGATCATACTGGGATTTAGGTATAAAATACCTAGAAAAGGTAAATCCATAGAGATTAAAGTTCATTAGTAGTTATCAGAGCACTGAGGAAGACAAAAGAAAAGGAGAATCTTTGCTTACGGGAGACTGAGTTAAGGGTGATGGAAAAATTGAAAATGGATAATGATTATTATAGTAGAACATGAATAATGTAATCCATTTCACTGAATGTTATATGTGAACAATATCCAAATGACAAGTGTTTTTTTGCTTATATATTTACCAAAGTAGACAGACAGAAAGAAATGTTTTCATATGTCTTGCAAACAAAGTGAAAATTGTCACAAGAAAGAAATTTATATAAATAAAAACATAAACATATAAAATGTTTTAAATTAATAATAAGCATATAAAGATTTTTGTCTTCAAGATGTTAAAAATAAACTTTTATTTTTTTTAAATTAGAAGAGTCTAACATTCTGATTCACCCAGTATTGTTTCATTTTGACTCATTCTAAAAGCCCAAACCAAGGCAGATGACAAAATCAGGAAAAAGGTGTTCTCCAGAGGAGTTTCTTCAAGGCCCCCTTCATGTCTCTGTTCCTTAGGCTATAGATAAATGGGTTCATCATTGGAGGGACCACAGTGTACATCACAGAGGCTATTGCTATCTTCTTAGAAGAATGAGTAACTGCAGAACTAATGTACACCCCAAAAGCTGTACCATAGAATAAGAAAACAACTGACAGGTGAGAGCCACAAGTGGAGAAAGCTTTGTACATTCCACCAGCTGATGGCATTCTTAGAACAGAAGAGATAATTTTAGTGTAAGAGAAAATAATCCCAAGGAGAGGAACACCACCCAATATGGTAGTTATTAAATAGACCAGGACTGTATTAATGAGGGTATTGGAGCAAGAAAGTTTAATGACCTGAGCAAGTTCACAGAAGAAGTGAGGGATTTCCAAATCTGCACAGAAGGATAGCCGCAGCACCATCAGAGTGTGGAGCAGGCCATCCACTACACTAATGAACAAGGAGAGTAGAATCAGCAGGCCACAGAAGCAGGGGTTCATAATGACCATGTACCTCAGTGGATGACAAATTGCCACATAGCGGTCATAGGCCATTGCTCCAAGGAGAAAATTCTCCATGCCTGCAAAAATCAGGATGAGACAAACCTGGGTGAGGCAGCCTGTGTAACTGATTGATTTGTTCTGTGTGTGGATGTTCATCAACATCTTGGGGACCGTGGTGGTGCTGAAACAGATGTCAGTGAAGGACAGGTTGGAGAGGAAGAAGTACATGGGTGTGTGGAGGCCGGTGTCTGAGTTGATGGTCAGGATAATGAGCAGGTTCCCAAGCACGGTGACCAGGTACACTATCAGGAAGAGTCCGAAGAGGAAGGGTTGTAGTTCTAAGTTCTCTGAGAGACCCTGGAGGAAGAATCCTGCCACACCAGTTTGGTTGACTGATATCATGCTGCTGCTGTGTCTAATGATAGAAATGATCGGACAGAAACAGATTTACAAGAATTGCTTATTTAAAAACAACAAAAAACAAAACTCTTACATCTATATTGCAAAATTAAGTGAATGTTACACATCTTTCTTCACTGCATTCCTCTCTTTGTTGTTGTTGTTGTTAAGTGCCGTCGAGTCGGTTCCGACCCATAGCGACCCTGTACAGGGTTTCCGAGGGTGTAAATCCTTACGGGAGTAGAAAGCCTCATCTTTCTCCCGCGGAGCGGCTGGTAGTTTCGAACTGCTGACCTTAAGGTTCGCAGCCCGATTCGTAACCACTACGCTACTTCCTTCCCTCTGACTCTTTCTCTCCCTTCTCTTGTCTGTCACCTTCTACCTTCCTACTTTCCACCTTCTGTGTTCCCTGTGTGTTTCTCTTTGTCCCATTATTTAATCTCTCTAAAAACCACCTGAATAAAAACCCAGGTATTTTCCATGGTTTTAAAGGTCTCCCAGTTTCTGAATATGAAGCTCATAAGAGGAATTAATGCCTTTAAACAATAATGTTGACAACGAATATTGAATGTATCATGCAAGGACTGCCAGAAGAACAAACAAGTCTGTCTTGGAAGAAATACAGCCAGAATACTCTTCAGAAGAGATGATGGCAAACCTTTGCCTTACATAATTTGGACATGTCATCAGGAGGGGCTGTTCCTGGAGAAAGACATCATGCTTGTTAAATAGAGGATCAGTGAAAGAGGAAGACCCTCAAGGAGATAGAGTGATGTGGTCGCTGCAACAGTGGACTCAAACATAGCAATGATTGTGAAGTTCTTGCAGGACCTGAAAACCTTTTGTTCTGTTGTACACAGGGTCTCTGTGTATGAGAACTGACTTAAAAGCACCTGGTACTCTCTGATCACAGAGTATTTATTGACTATGTACTCTTTTTCACACTGTCAGCTAACTGGAATAAAACAGAAAAAAGTACATGACTTTTTTTCTTGGTAACTTAACCAAATCTTTAAATTAGCAACAGACTCTACATTTGCATTTTAGATAATTGGTTTGCAAGTTCTACTTCTCATCAGAATTCAAAGAGGGATTATTGAGTCCAACACTTAGAGTTGGGACTCTATGGTTCAAGTTTTCTGCTTTCTAGCAAATTCTCAAATGCAGCTGCTGCTGGTCTTAGGAATACATGTGGAGGTTCACTCTTCTGGAGCAAGAACCATTGTGCCCAAGTGCAATCAACTCATCTGCATGGAAGAACAGAGTTGGTGCACTTCATGATGAGATGGGAACCTCGCTCACTATCTTTTGCAGGAGTGAGCAGGCCAAGAGTTCATGTCCATGACTCTGCTTCTTCATTTTCAGTTGTTTTTCAAAACCTGCCCTATTAATATCTTATTTCCATTTAAATGTCCTATTATTTTGATTTTTATCCCTTGTTATTATAGTTCA